TGAAAGGTTTGTGTTGGGATTGAGAGACACTTAATATTGTTTTTCTTCACTTCCTTTTTTGTACAGCAGAGATTATTTTGTAGATTTTGTAGAAGTATTTCACTGTCTATGAAATGACTAGCTCATGTTTCACAGCACTTGTAATGATATTTTGAGCATTATCGGAGTGGAAGAAAAAAAGAACAGTCTGACCCCATATGTTTGTTGTGTAACAGCTGGGCTCTGTTTGCTACAAAAGTAGGACACTGAGCATGGTTTTGTCTTTGTTGGACCAAATGTTCTTTGACCTTTAATAACTGCCCATGTCCTTTGAAAATGATTATATTTTATAGATATTAAATTTAACTTTTAAGATTTTGGTGATTATATTTTATATATATTAAATTTAACTTTTAAGATTTTGGTGTTATGTCTTTCTTGATTATTTAACATAACTTCAGCACCATATCAATGTGGTTATCAATCCTGGTTATGAAGGTTAAGTTTATCACTTAACCTTCATAACCATCATTGATATCTGATATATTGATAGATGATATCTCTACATTTACAGTCAGAGTGTTGTGGTTGAACTGCATCAACATCAAGATAAGTCCTCGCTTTTTGCTAGAGATAAAGATGAAACAGCCTCCGGCAAACGTCTACTACAAAGAAAACAAGTGGAGCTGAGGACGAGACTGTACGTGGAAGAATGACCAGAGCATCAGAACACAGAACACACAGCAGAGCCCACTGGGTTCTCTGAAGCGTAGGAAGATAGAAGAAGAAAAAAAGGGAGAGGAGGAAAACAGCATTCACTCCACTGGGTCTCACTGTTCATTCAGGGTCAGAGTACATACAACTACAGAACACCATGAGCACATTCACTTCATTAAGCAGGGCCAGTTCAGCAGCTCACGAGACTTTTCTTAATGAGAACCAACATCGTCTTTTATTATTATTACCAGTGATCAAAGAGCAAACGACAAAATGCCTTTACCCTGGGAAAAAATGAGTTTCACACATTTAGTCTAACACACTCTTCCCAAAGACTTTTGGACCGATGAAAAAAAAACAACCTTGAAATATCTTTAATCAAAGTGACTGTTTTCAGGTACAGGTATCGTTCCATTATCGGAGTGATGACAACGTATTCATGAGGATCACTGAGCATATCTCCTGCCTGTTCATTTTCAAAACTATAGATAACATTCTATTGGCTGTTGTTAGCTTACGTTGCCCATTATCCAGCTTATCTGTGCATCGTTCTCTCTCTGATTCACTTTTGGCTGAAAATGAGTAGAGTACGGAGTTATTCTATACCAGTATTTTTCAACCTTAGGATCGTGACCCCTAAGGTTGAAAAATAAAATGAAAAATTTGGGGTCCCCTGAAATTCAAATGGGGTCGTCTGAAAACCACAAAAAAAAAAAAATCAAACAACTGTGTTCTAACACTTCTATGAGTATTAAATGGAATTCAAATAAAATGCAGTGTATAGAAATATCTGAGCTGGCTCATCTTGATTGACAGTAGTGATCATGTGACCTAAAAATAATATAAAATGCCTTTGGAATGGCCAGATTTTTCTGATGTTGAAAAACAAACTTAATTACTCTTGGAGAAACAGGTTCAGACCAGTCAGACGTTTAGACTGGATTAGACTGGATGTCTAATATTTGGCCAGACAGTAAGACACTGAAGTGTCTGTGTCACGGTGTGTCACGGTGTGTCACGGTGTTTCACGACTTCCTGTGACATTACAGGGAAAAAAAGTCTAAATAAATTTGCTGTAAAACTGCGTCTAGGTCGTTGCTTTCTTCCCGTGTACGACAAAAGCCAAAGTGACCCATTAGATAAACCTGATTTCCTACAGTGAGAAGTTTCCAAATGAATACATTCTTTGTTGATTGTTCCTTTAAGTGTGTTTTCACTGTGGTCTTGTCTGAGCGCAGGTGCAGCAGTGAGACACTCCAGACACCGCAAGAGACAGTTAATGATAAGATTTCCTCAAACAGCCCAGTATCACGATCTAAGTGTGACAGCTTCTCCATATTTAGCGCACAGAATGTCAAGTACTGCATCTGTTCTTTGTTTGTTTGTTTATAAAAAAAAGGACATTAATGAACAAAATGACTTATTAACAAGGTAACTAACCTCAAGAAGTTGACTTGGAGTACAGATATTTTTTAATTAGTTGTTTTAAAAAAACAATCTGTGTTTGCTCAACATATCATCTGAGGCGAAAGATGATATGTTGAGCAAACACAGAATGAATGTGCTAGAATACAAGAAAAAAAAAGTATGCCTATGGAAAATCATGACAAAAAATAAAAAACATATAATGCTTATTGTTCTGGGCAAAACTGAGGCGCTCGTCCCTGGTGCTGTACACTCATCCACAATGCAATAATAAGAAAACTTGTGTTAAATACAAATGAAAAAGGTTTCATCCTGAATCAATTTGAACAGCCTGCTAAGAGGTAAAACATGTTGTGGGGAAACTCATCTATATAATGGATTTATCTATGAAAAATGTATGCAGTTCTTTCAGATGTATTGTGTTAATTACCTCTATCTGTCGTATCAATATGACATGAACATACTGCATGTATATGCTGACATAATGTAGTAGTCAAAGTAGCATACAAACTCTGAGCATCTGAAGAAAAAGTACAATTAAAAGGCTAACTACGTCAACAGCATTAAATCACATCTCATGACATTAATAACATGACAGTAGACGGCAGCAGCCTTACCTGGATTAGGAGTCTTCTTCATGTCCACGGCTGGTCTCTTCACACCGGAATCTCTGGTAAACCTGTCTGACCTTTGGTCTTTAAGCTACAGTCCACTCCAGTCCACTAATGTTGCGCGATTCCACTTCCTTGCGTGATGGCACGGAGTGACTGCAGGCGGCGCAGATGCAGATATGCCGTGTGATCCACAGAGCGCATCGATGTGCACCACTACAGGGGGATGCTGGGACTGAGAGCCCCCGACCACTCCACCATGAAAAGTGAGCCCACAAGTGCGGGGAGGGGGAGTGGAGATGTGCCGTCGATGCGTCTTTACGCACACGGTCAGAACGGAGTCCATCCAAGGAGTCCTGTCGTCGGACTGTGTTTATGGTCTCGTGTATTGACATCATTTAGAACTTTTAGCCCTTTCTGTCGACAGAGGTCTGCATGACATTAAACGGTGGTCAACAGTGGGTCCAGAACAGATTTTTCTTCTGGAAGTTGCAAAGTAGAGCTACATGGATCTTTGAAACAGAAGAAAAAAAAATCTGAAGTAAAGCCCAATCCACTAAACAAAATTATAAACCAAGAAAATGGGAAGTGGTTGTAAAAACTAGGGTAGGATTGAAAAAAAAAACAGTCAGAGTACTAAGAATGTTAATTATACACTAAAGAGTCGTTTGACTTCTTTTAATTCCACAAACTACAAAAGGCCAAACACGAAAAACCAAACGGAAGTCGTTTACAAGTCAGAGCCGTTTCACACCGCGTTGCCAATTATCACTGTAGAAACAAGCATCTTGGCTTAGAAAACTTTCGAAAGATATACCGTATATTGCGTTTATATTGTACATTTCGTGTGAATTTGGAACAACTGGTTCAATAAACGAGCTCTGCCCGATGTTCACATATTTCACACTTAAACTAATGTAAAAGACTTACTTTTGTGGACTGTTGTGGGCTGCTGCAACAGTGGAACTGGACAAGCTAGTTAGCTAGCTAATTCTTGTTTACTACACATGAACAACACGAGTTTCCCTAAATGGACGACTACACTGCGTCAATAAGAACAAAAACGCCACGCTTTTAGAACCTGCGAGTTAAGGTCCCGAACCATTACTAACGTCGCTTATAATACGCAGACTTTGCAACCGTAGTTACATATTGAACAGGTGCATCTAATCCCAGTAATTATCAGGAAATGACGTGTTTTTGTAATTCTGCATAACGTAACTTGATCTAAACAAATCTAGTGGCCATCGCCTGAATTTCTGGATTGTTGGGCATTTGTTTTCAACTTCTTTTTACCTTTCTGTGAAAGAATATCTTTTTAGTTGGTGGACAAAACAACATTTAAAGGTCATTTTTAAGTGTTTTTAAGTAGTTTAATCTTTATTCTAACATGACTTAACTCTAACATGACGTGTATAGAGTATGTATATGTATGATTCTGTCAGTCCAAATACTACAACTATGACCAACAACAAAATATATATATCAAAGTATTGTAACAAAGTATTGATTTCAAAAAACAAAGTATTGTAACAAAGTATTGATTTCAAAATTAGTTTTCTGCCCACTCGAACCTAACTATAGTGTATGTAAAAGACGTAGTGTGATCGCCGCCTAATGCTGCCCTCTACTGGTTGTAGGTCGACTGAAAATGGTGCAACATCACAAACTCCCATTCTTTTTCTTTGTTTTCTCATAGTTTTTAAAAAAGGGTAGTAATTAAATAACTTACCAGGATTATTGTTTGTCGAGTGTCAGTTTTTACTTTATAAATTGTAGCGTAAATTATCGTTTACATTTAATATAAGTATGTTCTTTCAGAATTATTAATTGTAAGACTAATTGGAAATACACAGCCAAACCTTAGAACGAATACGATTTTTTGAAACTGGTATCTGCAGTAAATTAGTGTGTGTGTGCGCACACGCACACCTGTGTACGTGTAGGGCCTGTGGCTAGGAAGTGGTTTTGTTTTTCGTCAGACAGTGTGATGACAACAGCAGACTCAGGTTCTGCTGTGAGACAAGGCTTCTGGACACGATAAAAATATTTAAGAAGTAAGCTCAACTGTGCTCTTCCCACAGCTGTATATCACCAAAAAAAAGTCCAATATAATCACATATATGCAGTTTTCATAGATCTATTCAAATTGTTAATAAATTGTAAATATTGATACTTCCTTGTAACGTCACGGGTCTTTTTAACCAGTTGCTGTACATTGAAATAACCAAATAAATATTATGAGCGTTAAAAAAAATGACCATGAAATGTGGAACGCAATAATTATTTAATAATAACTATGATTTAAAGAAACATGATGTTAAGACTTTCCCATGTGCCAATAATAATGGACAATAATATAATAATAATTTGTTGGGGAATTGAAATAGCACTTCTTTTCTGGTCAATTACAGTACAATAAAGGTTATAAAAGAAAAAAACAGGAAACAAGTAAAGAGAAGATTAAATTACACAATCTCTGTGTTTTACATTTATATACAGTATTTTGAATTAAAAAACAAAACAAAACATCACATACTAATAGGGCCACTCTGGTTACTCTGGTGCAGCTACAGGCTGTGGGCGGTTCTTGGTCATGATTTCATACACATCTTCTGGTGGAGCTCCTGATGTTGTTTTGCCATTACAGTGTTTCATCTGTTGGTCAAAATATAAATAAAATACAAGGTTATAATACTTTGGAATTTCCAAAAGAGTTTTATTTTATTTTTGTTATATTTACTTTTCTTTAATTTGGTTAGTTTAGTTTTTCTTTAGGTTATTTGTCAGGTTTAGGATTCAAGTCCACAATATAGCAGGCTGAAGTGCAAAATGTCTATAATACTGTCTGTGAGGTTAGATGCTATTAGCGGGAAGAGGTATAATACTGAGGTTAGATGCTATTAGCGGGAAGAGTCAACTCAGCAATAGGCTAAAGACACAGCTAAAATAATAATAATAATGATAATAATAGAAACCCATTCGTCAGACATGAGTCTGATGAAGCTCAAAAACATGAAATCTGAAAAAAACAAAAATCAAGGAAAACAAATGTTTATTAACGGAATATAAGTATAAGTATGAAAAGTAAAATGCAATGATGGAATCTATATTCCTTATCATTAAAACAGAAAAATCTAAATAAAAACAAACCCAAAGCTGTTGCAACAGATGTTGTAAAAGGACTGAAGGGAAAAGTCACATGAAGTTAACATTCCTAGTTGGCCCAGAGTAGATATTGTATGTTAAGTGCGGCTAGACGTGCAGAAACACAGGCGTCTCAGGTAGTGGAGCTCATCTGAGATCGACTGAACATCAGTGGGAACATGTTCAGTTTCAGCAGTGTTTTGGGAGACAGACCATGGTCGTTCTCAATGGTAAAACTAGGAGTCAAGACAGTTTCCAAAACGCCAGCATCGATTTTCAATACATCTGACACAAAGCTTCGCCTCATGGACCTGCATCACTCAGAGTAGCGCGAGCTTAAAGTAGCTGCTCAGCTCAGGTATGAAATAATTGTCTGTACTCACTTTTATTATCAGCAGGATGACAACCGTGGTTAAAAATATGCTGATGGCACTGGTGGCAACGGTGATTAACAGCAGCGGTGGATGTTCCTCATTGGGGGAAAGAGGCATATTTCTCAGTGGGGGATGTGCTAGCACTGTAGCCTGAAATGAGGTAACTGTAAACAGGGCTGTGGTGAATGAATTGCACTTCATCTTCATGCAAATGATAAACATTTGACCAAAGGAAGACACAAGTATGGCTGCTTCATCTATTCAATTGTGGTTACATTCTTAAAATATGCAGGGGTAATAATACTGAATGAAACAATATTTAAAAATTAAAATATAAAATAATGTTACTATATTGAACAAGTGTTTTGTTACATAAAGTTGATATAATGTTTTGCAATTGCACACAATGATTTTTCAATGGCATTTTTGTTTTTTAATTGTAAGCACAGTAGTGTATGGACGGAATGTAATTCATATTTGCAGACTAGCTGTCATCGTCAGCATGAGCAAGAAAAAAAAAACGCACCTGATATAAAAAGTGTGTAGTCATTACATACAACTTCAGCATCAATGTCTTTGTAGACACATTTGTAGATGCCAGAGTCGTTTGTGTTCAGATATTGGATGGTGATAGTGTGGTTCCGCAGAGATCCTTTTGTCATCAGCCTGTTTAAGTATCTCGTGCGTGGCTGGATACTTTCTTTATCTGAGTGGAAGTGATAAAACAGCACCTCTTCCTTCACTGGTGAATAATGATACAGATACATCCCAGGAAAACCATCAATGGAACTTGGACATTTGGTGAAGCAACACTCAAAGGTGACGTTCTCTCCAGGCCGTTTCCAAATGACATTATCTTGTGGATTACAGGAAAATTAAAATTAGAAAATGTACTTAAAAATTAACTGACAACAATTTTAACAGATGTCACATACATACAGTATATGACTATACTATATACTATATATATATATGTCCGTATATACAGATGAATGAATATATTTGTTAGATTTTAGCTTTAGGTTGTTTTTAAATACTGAAACTAAGGTTGCTGGCACTGGTCAACAGCAATAATATTTACAATCAGGAAACATATTAATATGTAAGATACTGAAAAAGCAGTAGAAAAAAGAGAACAAACCTCTTAGACTTACCTCCGTGTGCAGTGAGACAGAGCAGCAGAACAGACCAGAGTAGACGCACCATCATGCAACACTGGCTGTTTACTGCTTGTGTTTCTCACATAAATACAACCATGCTTCCTGTACAGTTTGATGTGGGTTGAAGACACACAACGTGCAAGTCAAAAGCTCGGTTTCACTCAATCTGCTGCAGCACCTGAACAGTCGTCTAACCTTTAAGGTGTGCTGGAGTGTAACGCTGGGGAAATGGTGAAAACCTGATAATGGAAAATACAGAAAAAGTTGAAGAGAGGTTAGAGAACTCAAAGAGTGTGAGTCCAATCTGTGTCACGGGAAAACAAATTATGAATTACCTTATTAATATAAATACAAATCATTTGAAAAATATATTAAAATAATTACATATATTAATAATATTAAATAAAACACTACTAGTTGCTGGTATATTTTGCCTTAATCCCATTGCATTGATATACGGGCCTGTGAAACAGATGATTTCATTCAAACGTTAAAAAAACAACAACAGCAGAATCGTTACAAAAATCTTTCCACCCTAAACTTTTTTTCCCCCACTACATCAACCAGTGGTTGTTTAAACTACAAGGTGAGATTGCCCCCTGCTGGAAGGGAATAAAAACAACCATAAGCTTAAAGACTAGTCGTGGCCATTTGTAGCACGATTGTTAATCTTCGTCTCGTAAGTCGCTTTGAATAAAAGCGTCTGCTAAATGCATAAATGTGACGAGACTCTTTTTCGTGGCAGTTCCCTGAGTTTAAGACGTGAAAAATATTAAGATCAAAAATGGCTTTCAGTCCGTATGGTTCAGAAACCTCTCACACACATATCCAACGCAATAAACACGAAAACAAAAAGGGACAAATTACAGTCATGAGTCAAAAAAGTGAAAATAAGTCAAATAGTTCTAATACAAATGTTATATTTCAAAGATTATTTCATAACGAAAACATTTTAGGACATTCCCTGAACGTCTGAATAAACTTCTCCTTGTATATTTTGGTTTTGAAATCAGGACAAACGTCATATTATTACAGATTTGCAGTAGGTTTTAATCTAGCTATGTCCGTCATTTCCTCTTTCACTGAAAGGGAAGAGGGGTTTACCCAGAACTCTGAATTCCAGTTTTAAGATGACAGATTTTATTCCCAGAAACCCAATCAGTCTTTGTAATAAATTCCAAACATGCTAACTCACCTCTGTGTTCAGATTTTGTAAAAAAAAAACAAAAAAAAATCAACACATGCTCTGTGGAAAACATCACTAATCATTGGAGATCCAACCAGTTAAGTCACAAGTCGCATTCTTATCTGCTGATCTTTCTGAAGATTTCGAAATATTTGACGAGTATCTGGTATTTTCATTATTCATGGTCATTTTTTTAAACAGTCTAGATTCACATGTTTGTATGCCAACACCTGTAATTATGTTACATTTGGGAAGAAAACGGACTATAAACTACTTTTCGTAGTTTATAGTCAGCTCACCGTTGTTCTATATTACCATTTGACCAACAGATGGCAGAATCGCCAACGATTTCGAGCCTGTAATCTCCACTGTGAAAATTCTGTCGGTATCTCAGCTTCTTCCGGTCAGATCAGCCATCAAGTGCTGGACTTTAAAAATCTTTATTCTCCATCAGTCCGTGTATTTTTTCCTGTTCCTAGAAACTGCTCCGTAGAACTCTAAGGCCTTCTTCTGCTGTTTGTTTATCGAGTTCCACTTGACGTTGATTGATACCAAGTTTTTAACTGAAAAAAGTCCAATTATCTCTTAAATACATTCTAACAAACGGGGAGAGACGCGTACTGCATATTCAATTATTCCCCCGTTTATCGTTTCTGTAATATGAAGTCGAAACAGCCGGTATTTTTTGCGCACACTAAAGGAAACCATTTTGCTTTCGCTAACACTGCTGAGCTCCACAATTCTTCACTAACGTCAAGAGTGTATTTGTGGAAGTTTCAACTTCCGGTCAAACGACCGCCTTGCGTCAGAGCAGATTCCCTAAGTACAGGGCAGTGGGTTCGTGTACGGCTTCACCGACGTTTTGAAAGTAACTGCGTTTTTTGAGTAATACTATTGCATTGTTATTTTTGTATTTTTCCATGTTATTACGTACATCATTAGAATTAGTCACAAATAAAAGTAAGCCTGAAACACACACTTCAACCTGCCGTGAATGGCTTCACTACATATTTAAAAACGTTGACCTATTTGGTTAAATTAAGATTAATTATAATTATTTACAATCGCAATCAGTCGTCACTATCCATGATTGTAATGGTCCACAGCTACTATTCTGTTACACTTTTGGATGAAAGTTCAAATGAGAGTTTGGGAGTCCACAATTTTTTCAGATCTTTTTTCAACACGAAAAAGGAGCAGAAGATTATCTGGTTATCTTTCAAGTGGAATGAGACACAGGAGATTCCTATTGTCCCTGAAGCAGAAAAAAGACAAACATGTCTACAGTACATGGTTTAATGAAAGCAAGCTAATCCGGAAGAAGGAAAGAAACGACATCTTTGTTAACGGACAAGTTGATTCGTGTCAAACTAACAAAGCTCACCCACATGGAGTTGTGGGTGGATGTTTGTGACCAGCTCAACCTGAGAACATTTTATTTTATTTTTTTAAAGTGTGAATAGTGTTTAATACTATGTGAAGTTGCCTAACAGACTACAACCCGTGAATTTGAATGCTTATGCAACTGGCAGTGCTCTAACATCAATTGCACATTATGACAGTGTTTCTCAAAGTGAGCGGACGTCTACCACTGGTGGTACATAGGGAATTCTGATTTCAATAAAGATTGGTTGACACCCATAGTTGGTAAATACAGCTCTCACAAAGTGGAATTCTCTTACCCAAATGCAGAGGAGTGATAGAAGAAAATACTACTAATAATAAAAATAATAAAAAGATAAATAAATATACTGTGCTTAGCTGAACAGGATACATGTGTGCTGCTGTGTTTAAATGCTGGTCATACTCATGGTGTTTAACATTTGACATACAATACTCCACATTTTCTGGTATAAAAATATTTTATTTAAAACAAAACACCAAGATCACAGTTTAGACAGTGGATGTTAATCATCACAAAATGAACATTGGACAACATGAAAATTCTGGCTGTAATATAAAATCATAAATGTACATAAAATCCATACAAAAATATATACAATTTAAAAAAAAGTTAGGATGACTTGTGGTCTGGCTTCATGGTTATTAATTAAAGGATTTTTAAAAACATGTTTGAGTTTCTGCTCAAAGGTGAATCATTAGCCCTCAGTATGTGATTCATTTTATCTCGAAATTGTAGGACTGATTCATCACACAACGCCTTTTAGCACTGTCTACAATGCCAAGAATATTTATATTATATTATATTATATTATATTATTAAAGACAGAAACAAGGTACAGTTAGATCACAGTTGGAGCAGGATATAAATACGGCTCCCCTTGGTAATGGTTTAAAAGCAGAGGCTCAGTTTCGTTGTATCCTCGTGGTACAATGACAATACAGACCATAAAAAGATTTTAAAAAAACAGTGAGCTTTTAATCAGTGCTGCCATCGGTGTGGGGGAAAAACAACGTAATTTTTGTTGTATTACCGGTTGTACTAGTAGTTGAACTACTAGTTGTACTACTAGTTGTACTACTGGTTGTATTACTTTACATGGGAAAGAAAGCGTGGATCATGTGAGACACTGAAAAAGTAGAAGCAAATCTGTCTGCCGAACATTTTGTCTACCACAAAAAGGATATGAAATTTGCCATTTATGTAGCCTTAAATATCAGGCTGTGGCCCCATGACAGTTTTATTTCTTCATTTTAAAACCCCAACATATGATGAACTCACACAATTCCTGAAAAAAATCCCAGTGAAACAGTGTGTGACTTGTTTCTTCATTATATAATCTGTATTCTACATCGTAGAGTTCATTTATTTGGTACACTTATGAAACAAAACAAAAAACTAAATTAAATGAAAGCTGCAGCCTGGGTTCATTTAGAAAATTACAGGCGTCTAGACCAAGTCAAAAAGAGAAACAAAAAATAAAAAAATGTTCAATCAAAACAAACTGCTTCAGTTTCATTCTGACACACACACACACACACACAGAGAGTCAGCCAGGCATTTGAGCTCTTCACACTAAGGTCCACTGAGCATTCAATTCTATGCTTTCATGTTGAAAAAACAAATGCTACATTTACTACGCTGCAGTAAATGGAGTTTTTCAGAACGACAGGGAACCAGGTTAACAGCTGGTCCTGGACCAGTAGCCTTGATCAGATTCTTCACATGTAGCTGCTGGACTTGGCTATACATATATACATTTAACTACAGGTATTTACCAACACATTATGCTGTAAGTAAATGAAGATGACTCACATCTCGGATCAATCATAGGCATAACATACTTCCTTGTTAATGAAAGGACATGTTGTGTGTCTCAGCAGTGGAGTTAGGCAAACAAGAAAGTGTTGATTTCAGCTGCTAGTAGTGTAAATATGTGACAAACACAGTGTGGAATGTTTTTCCCCTGTGGAGAGAAGTAAAGGGTTTTTTTTAGGTCTTCAGTGTAATTTATTGAATAATACTGACAACCTCAGAAGTCGCCGACAACACATCGCTTACCTGCAAACATTACAGCGTTGCTGGCAGCTCTTCATCGATCTCATGTTTGTCACCTGCAGAAGAACGCTCATGTAAAAAAGTGCATAAAAACACACACACACAAAAAGAAAAGAACAAACAAGTTACAGCAGGCATGGGCAAACTATGGCCCGGGGGCCTGATGTGGCCCGTTTGGCTTTTTAATTCGGCCCGCCAAACTTGCCTAAATGATGTTATTACTTTCTATTATCATTATACTTTTGCCTTTTCCCTGCACTTCCCATATTTCAGCAATAGATGGCGTAGGAATGACTCAAAGCATTTTACCATTTTAAACCCTTATGCATGACTTTTAAATGTCATTTGTCCTTGTTCACACAAACGCTCCATCTATTGGGTCCGCCAGTCCAAACGTTTGCCCACGCCTCAGTTAGACTTTATTTAAGACTCACCTCGTTCAATGTCCGAGTAACAAACAGGGACAGCCTTGGGACTGTTACCTGCAAAGGGAAAAGAGATAAACGTGTGTTAGTCAGTTCATGTCATGACAACTTCCTGCTTATATACACAACTGGTACTGTTAGGAACCAACGCCATATTTTAGTCAGCTCACTGAGAGGAGCTGGAGGGATTTCATTCAGCTTTGCTGTTGTCTTAGTTAACCTGTTACGTGCCGTAACTGTAAAGCTACTGTATTGTGATGTAATGTGAGCATCGTCCTGAGATTAGATGCAGAAACTCCTTGGCAACAGGTAGTGAAGCAAAACCTGTGTGGAATGTAATTTTATTTATTAAAATGCTTTAGTTGGTCATTTAGAAAAAAATTGCTAGCATACGTATTCATATTTATATTCAACAAAAAGTGACCCTCGGCTTGTCCCTGCTGTAAACACACATACTTGTACCATACTTGTGGAAAAATCTATTTTGGTTTGTCGTATTTATACATCAGCAGAGTGTCATACACCCTCCGTTTACTGTGTACTTAGCCCAAACAAGTTTTCCAAAGAAAAAACTAATGCATAATACCTGCATAATGAATTCCCCTCTCATTAGGGAGACACACATACCTATTAAGGGTGTTGTGGAGTCTGGTTATGGGACACACACTAGCACCTAGTTCACAATGGAACAGACTACTTACTATACTTCAGGCTGATACTGATCATCAGGTTCACACAATCTGATCCACCTTAACAATGCTTTAGAAAAAGGAATGCTGAATCCTTGCCAGGAATTCTTCTGGTTTTTCCACCTCGATCTTTTTTTTACCTGATTATTTCCTTGTAGCGCTGAATTAGAAACCAAAACAGGTTCGCAGGATTTTAGTAGACTTCTCCTAGACTCATTGAGAAATATCTACATCTAAATAGTGATAACTTAACACTTAACACTAAAACGTTATTACACAGTGACTTATATAGACCAGTGATTCCCAACCACTGTGCCGTGTTTAAAAACTAAAAACAAAAAAAAGATAATCAGAGCTGTTGAAGAAGATCTTTGTGAGTGTCTTTCTTCAATTCCTGCCAGTAAATCAGCGTCGTCCTCAGCTAAACAGGCCGAGATTTTAGTGAATTGTGAGTATATTTAAACTAGAACATTATTATATTTCATTACATATACTTTTTGTGAGATTTTTGGTTGGTGATGTTTTTCTTATGAAAAGAAATAGGTGCCCCGGCACAAAAACAGTTGGAAAACACTGGTATAGACAACAGGTCAGTGAGTGTGTGCGTGTGGACTCACGTTGATATCGCTTGCGACAACGCACCAACACCATGATCATCAGCAGTCCAATGATCAAAGAACCGATCACAACAACAGGAGCCACTATGTTCGTACCTGTGTCTGTCTCTCTGTCTCCAGCGACACCTGCATGATTTCAAATAACAGAGGAGAATTCAGTGCTCTGGGTCATTACATCCAATCAATGAGCAAAACTTCCTGTGTTTAAAATGGGGAGGTTTGGATGACCCGGTTTGAAGTTCCTGTGGAATCTTTTTGTTTCATTTAGTACAGTACATTAACTTTCGCTTTTTACTCCCTTGGCTTGAAGTGAAATCGGACTAAAATGGCCTTCAGAGAAACCAAAAGCCCTGAGCACACAGTCTGGTTAGACTCGCATCAAAACAAAACGTATCTCTTTGTGAAGATCTGAGTTTCAAATCTTAAGGGAGATTAAACACATGCTAGGGCATGTTTTTGTTGTGCGCTGTTCTTTAACAAACAGCCTCCTACTTATTCTCCTACACTAAAAAAACAAACCACCACATCCTACTGCGGCACAAATGGATCCAATTTCTACTTCCTCATTGCGACATAATCCTGAATAAGAAATGGCTTAAACCTCAGTTATATACCAGGGCAGAAGTCCACGCTGAGTCAAATTTCAGTTAAAATGGGGCCATCGATTGCATGCGGTGGCAAATGTGCCAGGAGGCATGAGAAGGCATCAGGTGTGGTGCTCAGCTCACCTTTTTGTATTGGATCAACTTCAAATACGGTTTCATCATCTTTGTCTCCACTGGCATTAAACACCACGCACGTGTAACTGGAGAAAATCGATCCGCGCAGCAAGCTCAACTCGCTAGACAGGTGGACAAGACCATTTGGGGTTCGGTGCACCGTCATGTGGGAGCTCTTTGTCCACTCTGCGTTGCTCTCATCAAACCACCGAATTTGACCTTCTGGGTATCCACCGTAGGCGTCACAGATCAAAACGCTGTCTGACACTCCAGTGAATTTCTCAGGGATGGAGTGAATTATTGGTTTATTGTACCTGGCTGCAAGGAGAAAGGGATAGAGTGAATAAAGAATGAAAACATGTGATAGCATAGATGACTTAGTGACGCACAACAAAGTATCATATTTGTTAATTGTGACTAAAACAAAAAAAAAGAACAAACTTAGAATAAAAGCTAATTTCTATTCTGGTTTTTGTTTCATTATGAAAGAGAAAATACACAGGAAGTTAAATGGACACTGTCTAACTCAGGGAAAAACCCACATATACCATGACAGGAAAGTCCCTTGAACTAATTTTACTTACTTAGGTATCAACCAGTTAAATGGTCTGTGTGAAATGAGTCAAGAGTTCACCACAGTCCGTTGTTGACCCCCCCCCCCAAAAAAAACTGGTTGAGATGTAGATGCAGACCCCCCTCAGACTTTTCTGCATTGAAATGGTGTATGTCTTCCTTTTTGCATAATTCAGAGGTGGACTTCACTGGGTTGCAATGGTTTCTAGATCTCAGTATGCATAGAAACGTCTCTACATTACTATCACACTCTACACGTTGACAGAGTTTTGTTCTGAGAAACTTTATTTTACTGGGAAAATTTACTTTCCTACAAAGTTTACAGCAAAACGGAGAGCAACGTTCAATCCTTGGTTTTCTCTTCAGTTCAACAATTTTTACATTAAAGTGTTTGGTGACTGCACTGATGTATTGAATAAGTTCCCCTGCACCAACTTCCTGACAAATGAAACCTTGTGAAATAGGCCTGCGTAGTCTGAATGTTTAAACTCATGCATGGATGTAAGACTAGCGCTGGGATTAGCCTACAGCTAACGTAGCACGACATGACTGAGAGAGCTCCAGTAATGATGCGTCAGTTGTTCTGTTGTTAGCCTCGTTGAACAGGGCCTGATTCCAAGAACGAGTGTTGGCTTTATCTTTGTCGTTGCTCATGACTTCGAGCTTTCTCGGCTAACTTTAAACTGCTTTCAACCATTCATATTCACATTCTCAATTCAGAGCATCCATCAAACTAATGAACGTGTTTTTTGGGCTGTGGGTCAAAACCGGATTTCTCAGAGAGAGATTTCATTTTTTTTTAATAGTCTCCTCCTAACAAAGAAAACAGAGTTATAACCTGTTCTACTGGTCAACCATAATCCCATAATCTCAGCCATATGTGCTCACCTGTGACCTGGAGGTTGGTGACGGCTTTGCCATCGCCGCTGTCAGTAATCACTTCACATGTAAATGTTCCAGCATCTGCTAACGAAGTGTTATCGATGACAAGAGACACGTCCATGTTCTTTTCATTCCAGGATGGATCTGCCAGCCTAAAGCCTGGTTCCTGCTTGGTGATTTTTCCACTTTGATAGACCAGCAATTTTTTTTCATCTTTCGTCCAGGAAAACATGTCGATTTTTGGATCAACGACCACTTTTGAGGTTTCGACAACACATTTAAGCAGCGTCTTTTGGCCCAACTGTCCCACGTGCTTAGACTCACATGCAACGCTTACAAAAGCTGTAAAAAAGGACAAAGTGTGACAGGAAGTTCATATGATGGATAATCTACTCTGGTGCCAAAGATTTCTGGTATTTTAGTTCGAATTTACCATCTGACAAATCTGCAGCAGCAATCCACACAATCGCAGTAAAAATAAAGACGAGGAAGGTGGGGTCCATGTTTATTCACCTGCAAGGGACGAAAATGAGGCATTTTAGCAAAAAAGGACAAATGCAGGTGACATTTTTTAATCAAATAAAATCAGGCATTTTATTATATTAGTCGCAATGTTTTGAAAATGTGTTGAACACACATTTTTACAATTGTATTTAAGCTTAATTCAGCCACTTAAAAAGACAAAGCCAGATAAAGAGAGACTATGTTGAGTTGGTTCAGTGGTTTCCCAACAACAGTTCACATCACCACATTCACAGCGACTCCTTCCAAACTCCAGTGAACTTTATTTAAACGACCAAGTCCAAATCTTTTAGGAGACATGACTTAAGATGCTTATGCTTCCATGATGTAGCGGTTATCCCGCCTGCCTCACACCTCTGCCTTACAAGGCCGTGGGTTCGAGCCCCAAAGGAACTACAAACTTACACAGGCTGCCTCCTGTGGCAGCCTGTGTAAGTTGCAAAGACTGTGAATTTCCCCATTGTGGAAATTACATTCGTTTTGAGTGACTCATCTAAACTAACATCTGCATATGAGGACTCTAAGGGTCTGGAACAACACAAAGATCTGTTAGAACAAGTCGGGCGAAACTCAGTTTAAACTAGTGCAGCTGTGTGCTAGTGATGATTTATATAAACATCTACTCCTTGTTTCAGGATGCAGAGCTCAACCCACGTTCCCCTGAAGAACTCTCTGAGGTTTAGATTTTATTATATTCCCACCATCTGTAATTTCAACTCAAGCTTCAATTTCAAGTTTATATCTGTGTTCATGTCTCACTGGGTGGGGATTGTTTCCAGACAGTATATAAGTAAAGGACTCAGCCATCCTTAAATATTAGTATACAGTATACCTGTGGTAGAAGACTACTTCATCCACAAAGACACACACAAACACATATCAAACTACTCCTTTGGGAACCACTGCAGTAAGCCAGAGTTCTAGTTCTGTTATAAAAGCACGGAGAAAGAGATGACGGCTACATTTTGTTTATGGAACACACAACACAATACCACAGAGACTCGTTCCTGTCTCTGACCACTGCATATCCTGAATTCTATATCCTGAACTCTAACTTAAATCTCGATCCAAGTGTTTCCCATCCTTTTTTGAGCCACGGCCCATATATATTACCACGGCCCATAATAATCTTCTAGATTAAATGACCTCATAATTGACTAAAATCCCGGCCTGTTTAGTTGAAGACAACGCTGGTATACTGGCAGGAATTGAAGAAAGACACTCACAAAGATCTTCTTCAACACCTCTGATATATATATTTTTTTCATACCCATCTGCTGCCACCTAAGAGAAGAGCGCAACAATGGTTGGGAATAACTGCTCTATCCAGAGTTTTGTAATGACAAAGAATCTCTAGGGATCAAAAACAAAAAATTCTGATTCTGGTTCTAAATGTGATTCTGATGAGCTGTGGGATCTGTTTAGTTTAAGTTGTTGTAATTAAGTCTGGGGTCCAATATAAGTGTAAGATTGGAGAAAATAAAAACATAATCTCTATTTTACCAAGTTTATTTTGCCCAATATTTAAATAAATAAAAAAATCTGTTTGGTGGCTGCACCAACTGGTGTAAACTTTTCTGCCTTTAACCATCGTTGGACTTCCTCAAAAAAAAAAAAAAAAATAGAAAAAAAAAGAGAACTAACTCTTGGTCAGAATGACGGAACTTGGACTTCCTTCCTCATTTAGGGTTTTATAAGACAATTGTTATTGTTTCAGGTAAAACAAGGCAATAAAACAATAATCAACTCAGAAGAATTTTAACATAAAATAAAAAACTATGAAGAAAACATCAGTGTGTTGTAGTTTTAGGTTGATTTCTGTTGATTTCACTGAACAGATTTTCACTGATTTCACTCAGGAACTTAAACAGTTTTAAATAATCAGAGCAGCTGTGATACAATTATGTTTAACTCAGTTGGAGCACAAACTGAAATAAATTTGATATTGAAGGAAGTGATGGAAAAATTCAACATTGAAATTTAATTGAAATTGAAATACCACTGAGGTGCTCTGAGCATGGCACCGTCCCCACACACTGCCCCCTGCTGTCTTTTGGTTGTGTGCCGTGGTGTGCTGCGTCACAATGACAAGGAGGTCACTTTACTTCCCTTTCCTTTTTTGAGAACTGTCTGGAGCTGAGTCATATAGAATGTACTGCATCAAGTATGAATTTAAGGGTTTAAGACTGTGACACCAAAGCATGGGTGTGAACCTCAGTCTGGTTCAGGGGCCACATACGACCTGGATTAGTTGTCAAGTGGGCCGGACCAGTACAATCAAAACATAACTACCTATAAATAACAATAAGTTAATGTTTTCCATCCGCAAATAAGGACAAGAACATACAAAATAATTACATTAAATCAAATATAATTTGCCAAAAATCACCAACATGAAGTGTTTATGCATTATTTTCACTTTCAAAATTCATCGAGCGGCCGGATTGAAACCCCCAGTTTTGGCCCGCGGGCCTTATGTTTGACACCCCTGCACTAAAGGCTTTTGTACCATTCAGTACACAATCCTGGTGTATCGTAGGTGGAGAGTAGGTCAAAGTCCAGACTCATACTGTCAGTCTGAGAGGTAATGAGGAGCGAGGTCTTAGATTGGTTTATCACAGAGGAGAAAAACCTTGTAGTTAATATAGTGTTTGACCAGTAGCCAGTGGGCATTGATTGGTCAGTGTGATGTGTTTCTGGGGTTAATGCTAATGAGGACTGTGGCAGTAGAGCTGCATTGCTGCCGGTCAAGGATATTACTTGGCAACACACACGATTGCGTATGCAGTAACAGATACAGGAGGTAATCAACACGGGACTTTACAGCAGTATCAGGAAGAGATAACCGTAGGCTGGGAATTTTTGATAACTGAAAAAAAAAAGTGGATTTAGTGATTGATTTTCATGTGAGTGCATGAAGGAGTCAAAGCTATAGCTCTACAAATTCAAGATTTAGATCCTGGCACTCTTGCTACAGGTGTATTTAGGGGATGTGTTTCACACCAGGTAAAAACCTGCTCTGTTTCCATTCCCAACGACTGTAACTGAACTACCAGCATAGCTCGAGGCATGACAACAAGGATAAAACTTCATCAAATTCAAGTGTTATTTGTATTTCCTATTTCAAATTAAGTGTTAATGGATTTCATAATTTATGTATTTTACAAATATTGTAATAACCAGTGTTTATGTGATTTCCGTTGTTTACAATCAGGAGTATTTTGCATTATTAGTATAAACTCAATATCATATTATTATTCATATTATTCATATTATTATTATTATTAATATATAGTATTGTATATACATTCCTCTGTTTCATCAAGTATGAGTTTTTAGGGGAATAATTTTAATTTTATTCTAAAAGTTATAAAGTCAATTGAGGCAAAATATGTCAATTGTAAATCTGGGCTTTAGAATAAACATCGACTTATTGCTTAAGTTTTGCTGTCAGGTCTTAGTGATGCGGTCTGAATAAACCCAACTGAAAATAATTCATTCTTCACTTTGGTCCAGATTTGCATAAAAACGTCCAATATTTACATGCCATAAAGGCGGAGAGGCGAAGTGACAGCTGTACTTTAGACCGAGTACAGTCGTAAAATCAGGGAACAGAGAACAACAACACATACATTTCTACAAATGCACCAAACAAATACAGTTTAAGCAAAGAGGATAATCTCATGTTACAGTTCGACACGTGGACAGCTGCGAGAGAATTAAAAGAAAAAAAAAAAAATTTCGCAAAAAGACTTCGCTACTCCGCCTCGTCACGACAGTATTTTTTTTTAAAAACAAACAACAGTTTTCTATGTCATGTTCTAAAACATGGGTTGACTTACCGCACAAGCTCCTCTCTCAGCAACGGCACAGAAAGTACTGAGACATCGACTGTTGGCAGAACACAGACCTTCGGTGTACTTTCACTTTCATAATGACAGCGGGGAGTGAGACTAAACTAAACATACAACGATCCAAACATCGCCAACTTTGGACCTTATTGTGATTGTTAAGCTAGTGTAGTTGCTGTGCCACATATCTGCTGAGACCACGAAAAAATGGGGTTTTCTTGTTGCCAGATTTCCTGAGGAAAGGATTAAGGACAAAAGATTTCAGCCCCCCTCCCGCGACCCTAAAGCGCACACACTTTCCCTTTCAAATGAAAAAACCCCCAATTAAAACAAACTTTCCCTTTCAACAATAACACTGCTATGTTAGGTCACTGCATGTTTATATTAGATATACAGAGTATCGCTGGCCTTAGTGAAAACAACCATTCGCACTCTGTTGGTGAAAACAACACTTAATACTACTTAGTACAGAGACTATACATTTGTGCACATTTGGTCGCAAAAGCAGCTGTGGGACTATTTTATAATTTTGACGTTTTTATTTAGAATACATTAATAAAAAAAACCCAAAGTGATTGTTTTGATTTATTTGAATCTCATTTGTCACATTTGAATGATTATTTAAAATCATTTTATTTCTCTTCCTTTATTCCATCATTCATTTCATTTTTAAACTGGCAATATATTCATGTAAAATTTAAGTTTAGAAAAAATACCAAAAAAAGGAAAGTTTAAATAGTATTTTAGGGATTGAGTCTCTGTCTAGACTACAATATTACATTAAACTGACCTCTGTGGACATCAATAAGAGACCAGACAGAGGTCATTCTTTGTTGTTCCTTGTTGATGTCAAAGGTCAGATGGAGCAACCATACATGGACTTATGTCCGTATCATCATTATTTAATAAATTAAGTTCCTATTGTAGCAAGTAAATTTGCCTTAGTTCATCTAGGATGCTTTCCAGAAGGTAACGTTATCTAGAAAACAGATATCAGCTCATCCTGTTTGTTACGTTGGCCATGGAAACCTTCTCCTAACTGTTGATGACCCTTCATTGTTTTTGTCTGTAATCCCTCTTCAAGGCCACACTTTGATAGTCCATTGTATCCCCAGCAGATGATAGAAACATGCAGTTTTGTCTAGACTGCAAAGTTAAATGAAAACAATAGATTCCAATCTTCCAAGTTTTCCTTTTCTTTTTCAGGACTTGGACTGAATCACAAACGAGTAATTAATCCCACAGCCTGCAGGCATGTGGGACAAAAGAAAAACAGAAACTAATACACTCAACACAAAAGCACATTGTCAAGATTTTTTTTTAATGGGGATTCTTTTTCCTGCGCCAATTTTTTAAATTCATTTCTTGCAGTAACTTAAAGTCAGCAATGTGGATTGGAGGGAATGAAGAGACAACGCCTGCATCACAACACTCATTAAAAATGAATACCACTGGAGACGTCCTGAAACGATGTTGTTCTTAAACGACAGCTGGCTGACGTAGCAGCCAATCACATGACTCAACAATACAGTAGCAAGCACAGCGAGGAGTTCAAATTTTGGTTTGAAGAACGAGACATGAAATCTACAATTAAACGCAGCCTGTAGCTCTGAGTGAGCAGGATCTGTAGGAAATCAAAGTGGGTTACAGAAATATTTTAAAAAAAGGCTGAGTTGTCATAAGGTCACTTTCCATATCAAGGATAAGAAAACTGAAAACACACAAGTGCCTTGACCAACAATATTCCACTGTCCAGGTGACACCGGTAGTATACAGTATGAGGTAACCCAGCCAGGTATGTTAATGTAGCCTTACACACAAACAGGAACAGTTAATTGTGAGTATAATTACTTCATAAAATCACTGGGCGATCAAGACTGCCACTGGGGTAACGCTAAGCTAAGTGACCACTATTTAAAAAAAGAAAGGCCTAGTTCAACTGTGTAAGCCGACAACAACTGATGAAGACAAACGCTTGCATCCTTCCGATCAAAATTACAGTAATCCTGTAATTGTGGAATTACATTTGGCCCCCAGGTGGACAGTAGTGGTAATAGTTATCAGTAGAAAGATTCCAACTTCATGCAACGACAATACGACGTTCATTTCACAAAAGAGAAACGACTAACAAATGGATTGAGCTTTTTAAAAATCTTCACAGTAACTGCTTCATCTCACATTCACACACTACACGTGAGTTGTGCATGCACAATGAGTCAAAACTGCAACACAGTGCAAAAGGAACAGCTTCGTTGTTGCTTGTGTTCTACAAACCATTTGAAGAATCGCATACAGCTCGTGCTGCTGCATTAAAATATGGGGTGAGGGTGGGAGAGGAGGCGGGAGGGGAGGGGAGGTGGAAGGGCTGACCACAGGCTGATAGAACAACTGTCATCCTTGTGCCATTTCTGACAGGCATAATGCATTACAGCGGCAAAGGCAGATGTTGAATCATATACATAGAAATACATAAAGTGCTTTTGTCCAACTGAATAATAACAACAATAAAAACAGTACAAAAACGGTTCCAAAAAGGTTTTTTTCTTAAAAAAAAAAACAATGCACTTAGAGATATGGAGGGAACAGGTGTCTGGTTTATGGTAAAAAAAAAAAAATGGAATGGAAATCCTTGTTTGAAAAATGATAAAGAACACTTCAGGAGGAGCAGTTGGTGAGAATTCAACCCAGGATAAGGCTGGACTTGCCGCCCGGAGGATTTCTGCGGCCTGACTGAGGTCCTGCAGCTGCTTCTTCTGCTCCTGGAGCCTCGTCCTCCTGCTGCTGCTGCTGCTGCTGCCGGGGCGGGGGGGGGGCTGCGACCCTTTTTTTAAAAAGGCTCCAC